TAATCGTACAAAAGACAGAAGAGTATAATGTGCAACCAATGTCTGTGATTCCGTCGAAATGTTGGCGGTGCTGCAGTCCCTTCAGCGAAGCAAATTCAACTATCGGTATATTGAAGTTCTGAAGTATTTGTACAGCAGGCCTATTATAGTTATCCGAGTACAGAACCCGAGTCCTAAACCTATCCAACTGCAGAGATTCAAGACAGAGTGGCGTATGGCGTTATACACCCGAAACTCTTCACCGCTGCATTGGAAGACGTTTTCAAGCTACTGGACTGGAAATGATAATTGTCTCATAACACCGGTCAACATCAATGGCTAGTACAGAACTCACTTTCGATTTGCTGATAATAGAGTCAACTTGGCAAAATTGTTAGAGGGCCTCAACTGCAGCTCAATGACCTTAATTGTCTCACAACGGATAGGTCTTAAATTTAAAAATGCAATGTGTAATGTCTTTATCACACTTACGGTGATAGTTCTTGAGAGCACTAGTCGCGAAGTTGTTTACGAGTACTATCAACCTGGAACAAAATGTCCTACCAGCTAAGTCTAACCAGGGCCTGATTTACCCACAGGATACCCAAGCTGACGCTTAGGGCGCAATGTTTGGGAGGGTTGCTGAACTTGCCTTTTCTACAAGGGTGGACCTTGAATTTGTGCGGGGGCTAACACTATTGGGCTAACACTACTGAGGGCCCTACAAAATTAATCAAATTAATCAAGTCAAAAAACTGTTTTCTATAATTATGTGTACTGCGTGAAAAAATTATATGACTTAGATACACAAACAGCAATTGTAAGCTTATGAAATTAACAGGTTATGTGTTTGTGCTGCAAGTTCCTTTATTTGCTCATCACATTGTCAGTCCTTGTTAAATCACAATTTACGGAAAGAACTGACAAATTATTAAGTCGATTGTTCAATATTGTTAACTTATATTTGTTTTCTTTATACGACAACCTGGAGAAACAGCGCTACGCTTCACAGTTAATGTTTGACAACATTAATAAAATAGCAAAGCAATTTGGGAAAAAATCAAAAAGTTTATTTTCATTAATTAGCATAAAATTTTAACAGCAAGAGGTGTAGGACTCTTGCTTGAACTTTAGTAAGATTTTAACCAAATTCATTCATTCACTAAATGTTCGTCTACTTCATCTGCATAATAATCAATAAGATTATGCAGGTAGACTTTCCAGATCTGTTTTCATTATTGTTGTCTTACAAACCATTAAAAATTTTAATTTCTTTCTATATGCATCATAGACTTGGTATCTTCTATTTAAATCCAAAATCCAAAACAGCTTATCCAAAGCAACGGTTCGCGCGTCTCTTTAAAAATTTTGACTCTTTTGACAACTAACTGAAAATTTTGTAGTACCTATTTCGCTTTTTGTTTATCTCACTATATTCTCCTCCCACTCCTCATTTCCACCAAAACTCATGAAATTTTCATAATATCATCATAATTATGTTTGAATCTTTGAAAGCTATTGTCTTCACTGGGGCCCTTTATATCCACGGGGCCCTGGACTACAGCCCAAAAAGCCTATACCCAGTGGTGCTAGAAAAGCAAGGGCGAACACCTGCTTTTCTAGTACCACTAACATACATTCATAAAAGTGCCGCAAGTATTTTACTAGTTCTCTTTTTATTTTTGGTACAAAGCATAAATAGATTATAAAAATAAGCTTTTGAATTGGTTGGTACCTTTCGTCTTTCGTTGACTGACTGGACGTGGTTCAAAGATTTTAAACTGCTCAAGTGTGTTTTGCCAAGGTTGTCCAAGGGAACTTCTGTCAGCCCATCATATATTCTATATTTGGACAGGGGAAAGACGCACGGGCCCATGCCGCAAAGAAGAAAGTCGATCTTTTAGGTTCTCTTTTTGAGTCCAACTCGACTCTCGATGGCGGGCGTACAAACCGTCGACAATCCATTATAAACTTTCAACTGGTTCTAGTTCTAATCTAAGTAACTGATTCTAGTTGTAATCTTTAGTTGCGCTTCAGTTACCACTAGCGCCACCTAGTATCGAGTACCAGAACTAGAAGCGTCAAGATCTTTCTACAAAATTCCATACTAAAACTTTCTACACTTAGTCAGTCGGGACCGGTATATACTCGAACATTCTAGTCGAAGAGGCCCTATATAAGGCTGGTGAGGACCACGACCGAGTCACTCCCCACCCCCCTCTCGCTATCGAGTCCGCAGGCCGAGAAACTCTCACTCGGACCCGCCTAATAAACTGTCAAACGACCTGAACTGCCTCCTGGCGGCTCAGGCAAACTCTAATTAAATTAAATTATTCATAATTAATTTGCCTTCGTAGGCACTCCCTCAGCGGCTCGTAGCCGCCTGCGTCCTCTTTTCCCAAAAGAGGGTCGCTCCCGATACGGCATAAGAAGCTTAAACAGCCAGTTGCCAGTCCCCAAAGGCGGTTTTTAGAGGGTATCACTTAGGTTCCCCCGGTAGGCAGTGAGTCCCTCATAACCACGATAGACCGGCTATCGTGGTATGCGTAATGCATTTTCCGCCTCCCTACATAAAGAGTAGCCCTTTCCAATTGCTTCGGGCGCAAAAAAAAAGCGACCGAGTCAGTATTGAACTGGCGATACGAGGGCGACACTGCAAGTTTTTAGAACTGGCCACTTGTAATCGATATAATAAAAAATAAGTTAACATTTTGAAAATGGAACTCTTTGCTAATATTATTGTGTAAAGCGCTTCTTTAGAAGCTTCCTTCTTGTAGGCTTACTGCAACTGAGTAATCAGTTTTCTTGCAGATCGGAGCAGAGTGTGCTATTTACGTACGCTGTTTTGTTTTGTATATCAGTTACATGTTGCTGATACTGGTCGCAACACTAGTGATGTTTCTTACACCGACCGTGCTCTCGAATACGTCTCTCTCGAATACGTCTTCGACCCAAACTTGTGTGAAGTTAAGTCTTTAATTTAAAAAAAGGAATTTAGTCGAAACTTCAACACAGGTTTGCGCATTTACCGATAAAAAGAACCCTTTTGTCGTATCTCCTCAATTTCAGCACTCCCGTGCTGCCTCAGCCAGCATCGGAATCCTCGGCATCGACATATCGAATGACGTACAGTTCTGCCTTCACTTGGAAGGGAAGGCTAAATTGGCCTCTAAAGAGTTGGAAATGGAAAGGTTTAGTTATATTAGGAACAATCAGGCGCAACTTAGAGCGGACTTTTTGTCTTTATTTTTCTCTGGAATATAATTAAGGCCGACTACTCTGTACTCGGCCGTTAATACTCTGTGCTCGGCCGGCCCCTTAAAAAAGGTCGAATTCGCCGAGTACCGAATCCAAACCGAGTACTCGTCCTATGTCTAGTAAAAACCACTAAAAATTCCATAAGCCTCTATCATGGTTGCATCAGCTAATCAAATCAAAATCTTTATTTTGCTCCGGTGATACTTAAACTTAAATACATTGTTGGAACACTCCTTTTAAGTTAGGAAACTTGTGTTAAGAGGCACTGCTCTTACAGTATTTCATTTATATAAATTAGTGTTTAGAACTTTAGAACTAGGGTAACACATAGTTTTTGACTTATAGTAAAACTTATATTAAAACTTATAGTATTTTTATAAAAAAAATATCTGTAGGTTTTAGTTGTGTGATTGTATAGCGTATGTGGTACGTGCATGTTGAGATGAGCTATATTTAGTAAATTATTAATTATGAACAACAAGTTAAATAATTATTTCTAAGTGTTTCGGTTTCGCTTAAATTTAAAATTTTCAGCCATTTCATTATCAGACGTTCACAATCAGAAGACCCTCAACGTCTTTTATTTTATTAATCACAAAGACGCGCTGTGATCAAATATCATCAAATGAATTTCATAATGTGAAATACATACGCATTATACTTAGTATTTTGAAGTTAGTCACAGGTTTTTTTTCAATCATTGGTCGTTGATTCTGAGCTAATCATATTTAAAACTAGCGACCTGCCCCGGCTTCGCACGGGTAATTCTACAACAGCGCCACCGCAAAGATTATTGGCATAGTTGGACCCAGTGGGTCCAACTATGCCAATAATCTTTGCGGAAGTGCAAGCAATATGTTGACAAAATTTTCACCGCATTCTAATGAATGGTGTGAAATGGAAGTGCGCATAAAATACGAACAAACAAAAAAATATTTTCATATATTAGATTTCACACACACACACACGCACGCACATATGAGCACCACTGTAACTTTGTATCTTTTTTTTCGACGTACCTATATAAAATGAAATTTTTTCGTTCCTTTATAGGTACTATTGACTGCCTCAATAGTGTAATAGTAGTTAACCATTAGGTCCCGGGCCCAAACCCAATAATTGATTTTCAGGTTCTTTCGGGAAAATCAATTATTGGGTCTTTTTTTTTCAAGCAATTCTTAGCAGCCCGGTGTCAGGAAGTTGGCGATTACTCACCCCCGTGCCTCGGAAAGTACGTAAAGCCGTTGGTCCTGCGCCTGATTTCTCTCCGGTCTTGTCGGTTTACCATCTCAACGAACTATATACTACGTGAGGTAATAGTTCTCCTGTGCTTGCGCATTACACTTGGAGACTGTAAATCTTATCCTGCGCAGATGCCTAGTCTCTGTAGAGACAAGCCGCCGTTACCGACATAAAATTATTATTATGCGTTCCTATGCCATTCATCAGATTACGATGAAACTTTGGCGAGTTGTAGTGCGCGCGAACGTAAAGGTTTCTGACAAAAAAAGCATTTCCATACGGAAACGCTAGCTGTGTTAATTAAGAAAATTATACTATGCTACAATCGAGCAATGAGTAATTTACTCACAATTCGTGGCACTTTAATTTTCCAACCCATCATTAAAGACAAATATGATAATAAGAAAATAGATCAATTTAGAGTAACAATAATGAAAGAGGGACGAGATGTTGTACTAAAAGGCAAATTTGATTCAAAGTATTTATTGAATCTTTTTTTTTACATTATGATACTAGTCTTTTCACTTCTTCGCGGTGACAGCGGCTTCATCTTCCCGCGCGAAGGTCTGTAATAGCTCTTCTTTTTTAGCAGCAATACGCTCCTCACGTCGCTTACGAGCTTCCTTCACCTTGTTACGACGGGCTTCAGCCTGGTCACTGAAAAAGTATGAAAATATATTATTGATATAATGAAAACTTATTTTTCGACCTAATGTATTAAAATTTCGATCATTAAACGTCAAAATACTTTTACTCTACTAACATTTAAATGAAGTTCCTCCTTGGCCGGCAAAGAATTAATAAAATAAAACTTTACAGGTATCCTCATTTTTTGTAATTTTTTTATTTTATTCATAATAAATTATGCCAGCTACTAAGCAGCATGAGTCGTGACGACAGTGTGATTGTGACTGTAATGTGGATAAATAGTAAGTCACTTTACTCATCTTTAGTAATTAGTGCTGTATAGTGTGTAAAAGAAATAATCTCCCAACTTCATAAGCTGTTTTTCGGAAACTATTTCATTTTTTAAATTATTTCAACTCGGCTTTTCCCTTTTTTAAAGTTCACTTTTTATTTTTTTTATTTAATTAATGACTAGAATGTTGTCTAAATAGTAGACTTGCAACAAATAGTATATCCGGCTGCACACCGAATACCGAATATTCCACAGGCTTCGTGGTCCAATAGCTAAATATAAGGCAAAAGTATGCAACTGGGAAGGAAGTAGTGTTGACACAGTGTGTGTAAGAGAAAAAAAGTAGTAAACAACAGTCAGTTAAAAAATTAGTCTTACTGCACCATTTTTTTATATTACAGAAGTTGATTATGTACCTATGATTACTTAATGATTACAAGAAAACTACATTATATAAAATAAATAAACATTTTCATTTTACCAATCATCTGACTACAATAAAACATACTTAAGTATTCGGCCGAATAATACCTAGATATTTGGTATTCGACCGAATAGGATTGAAGGAGGAAAAGTAATAGCTGAATATTTGCTACAAGTCTACTAAATAGACTGAATTAAAATCTTTACCTCATATTTTTCTACTCTTAATTCAGTAACAAGGCACTTCCTTATTCTTAACTGTAATATATATTTAATGCATTTTTTAGGATAAAATAGCAGAATTTACATCTAGCAGCCGCTACTTTTCAAATTCCATTTTAGCATTGTTCAGAATGTTATTCACTGTAAAGCCAACTTCGACTCTGATCATCCTATTCATATATCGTAAAAGCATTGTTAGAAGTCTTTAAAAATATTTTATTTACACTAGATTAAAAAAGTATAGAAGTAATGTTATTGCCGCGTAAGAATATCCTCCCTATTATGCCCTATAGGTGTTGTATGAGGCGACTATTCAAAAATGTCACCAGTAAATAGCAGTATAACCATCTCGTCTACAGATTTCCCAAAACTGCGACAGGGAGGACCCTGTTTGGAAAAAAGATTGGGATGTTTAAGGTTTGGAATGAAGATGATTGGAAGTGTACTGCAATTGCTAATCCCTCTTCCAAGCATGGCAATCGAAGTAAATTCTGCCTAATGCAAGATACAAATGTCTAGCAGTAAACTTTTACAAGAAAGATTGAGTGGTGATAATCTCATAAATTAAGCATAAGTATTGCAGAATATAACTAAAAACCTAGGAACATCAAAGACAACATTACCTCAACATTTTGGTCCTAGCCTTTTCAGCCTTCTTTCTGTGGATGTACTCCATTAGGACACGCTTGTTCTTGAAAACATTACCCTTCGCCTTCATGTACAAAGCGTGGTACAAGTGCCTATCAATCTTTTTTGCTGTCCTGTACTTAAGAAGCAGCTTACGTAGGACCCGTTGCCTTTGTACCCATAGTTCCTGAAAAATTGAGTGTAATATTTCTCTACAAAATAGTACATTGGAAAGTGCACAGTTGGAGAAACTAACTATAGCCTAATGATTATGGGTATGGACTACGAAATTAAACAGTTGTGGGTTCATATACACTATTAGCTACTCATACCGGCAACAAGCAAAGGGTGGGGCGGACCCCCCACTAGATGGAGCGACAACCTGGTAAAACATGCAGGATGTCGATGGATGCAAGTGGCTCAGGACTGTGCTTTAAGGGAGCACAATGTTCAGCAGTGGACTTGTGAAAGGCTGTAATGATGATGATGATGATGATTATTCACTATTCAATTACTGTTGCAAACCACTACTAACAAGCATTTTATGCTTAACTGGAGTAGTTAAAGGGAATATTAATAGTGTTGATATTACTGCTAATAATTTTTTTTAAATAACACCACATGCCTTGGCAGAAACATAAACGAAGTATGTTGTAAATAAAAACAAAAATTACACATTTCTGAACTGACACAGTGACACTTATGAAATTTTTTTCTTATAACCTCTCAACTGTCCAAAACCTTTAGAAGGTTGCAATTTACTTATAAACTTCAGACACGAAACAGCCATAGTAAATGTATCTGTATCTCCCTCTCACTCGTACAACATTGTTTTAATATCATTAACCTACTTATCTCGGTATAGAATTGTCGCTATTGAAGTACAAAATGTGCCTTTTTTGTGCCTGTTTCGGGTCATCTTAAGTGGCCCACATTATTGTCGAGCTTGTGGTGTAAAAAAAATGTATGCAGAGTTGTTTTTTTATTATTTATTGTAAAGTGTATTTATCTTATTGTAAATAAAATAAATGTTTATTGAAATAATTGTTTTTTTTCTTTTACATTTTTATTCACCAAACTGGAAAAAATCGCTTTTAGCATTTTTACCATAGAATTTAGAAAATATAAAAAAGGTGAATGTACACATTTACACATATTCTATTAGCTTACTTAACAACAATTCTAACAACATATTATTTTATAGAGTTTCTATTCATAATTATTGAAATATTGCCATTTTAATGACACGCGCCACGTATGCTCTCGCTGATCACTCGTTTAGGGTTTGACAGATGCGCCAAAGCGACCATTTGGGCCGGGACAGTTGAGAGGATAAGGAATATTTATGACCTGCATTATTTTTGCACACTACAATAAAAGAACTAAAAACCTACTACTTGTCCATCATTAGTTGTTATGGATGTTTAGTTGCATAACATTATATAATAATGTTAGCTCAAACTCGAACTATTTTGTCATTTACCATATTATTATTACATATATAACACATGGATTGTATTTAAGAGCGCATATTCAAATATGTCCAAGTCGAAATCTACGCGATCGCTTTGGAACGGCGTAATATTTACGCACACTACAATGTTATCTTTGTGTGCGTGTCGGGGCGAGCGTGAGGCTATAATAATTGCCTTACGACTACTACGAATCACTTTGATCTTTGATTATATACCTGTCTTTGATACTATTGGAACTAAAACAATAAAAAAATAATTTCCATATAATGGCTTATATATAGTGTATAGATATCGGAGGCTAATATGTGGAAATTGTTTTATTCTTTTAGTAAATTGAATTCGGCTTTACATTTTCACCCTATTGAGTATATTATAATATGTTCTAATTGAAAAATATGTATTGTATAAAATATATATCATTTGATAAACCTTTATATGTAAACATAATTCATCAAACTAACAATTTCATTAGTGTCGGCGGAGATTAGTGTTGCCAGGTCTAGCAAGTAAAATTTCGGGACGGAAGGTAAAAATAATCGGAGATTTGGTTTTCATATCTGGACAACTACAATGACTACAAAATATAGGTTTCTTTGTAGCCTTTTTTGTGCTTTATTGAGAGCCGTGGTAGCTCAGATGGTCAACGCTCACTTTAAATATCACAGTATGCGAGTCATGCGAGAAATTGTGACTGTAACTTTATTTTACTTTTGTGCTTTATAATTATTATTCGGGTCTGATCTCATAAACGAATAACTTTTCATCCAAAGATTGTAAAAACTGAATTTTTTTTAATTTTAGGCAAATTAAAACATTTAATTTGCCAAAAAAAAAAACAAATAGTTCAATTGTTTTTTTTTGCAGTCCCTGAATTTTTCAAATCACTCATTTTAATATAATTCTGTTTAAAACTTTTGTGGTTTTTTTTCGACTGGTGAGACAATGTCGTAGTAAAAATATTTTAATGTGGTAGTAGCTAACAGATGTAATCATTTTTGCTGTCAAAATTATCGATTAAAGTATAAAATAAGAAGGTTAGTGAAAATCGGGGGGACATTTGGCGTCCCGATCAAGGAATCGGGACGTGTTACTAGACCCTTAAAAATCGGGACGTCCCACGCAAATCGGGACACCTGGCAACACTAGCGGGGATCGAACCCGGATTGTTCGCGTTTACGGCGAGCACTTCACCCTTGAGCTACTCAACTCAAGCACGGCTCATATGTTTTATATCTCGAGGCACGGTAGTGCCCCCGCCAAGTCGAGCAAAACAGCGGCACGGCCGTATCATCATGCGAGACTTGGTTATTTTACAAGTTATGTTTTTGATGGCATGTCTTTGTTTAATCATAACGTTATCTCCACACTAGGAATTTTTCCTAAGTACATCGTGGGGGCAGTTTAAATACATTAATTTCACAAGGACAAACATCCAGACCTGGAACAATTATTTGTAGGTAATACAAATTTTTGTTCCATGTGGGATTCGAACCCGTGGCGCTCAGCGCTACAACTCACACTCAAGAGCCAAAGGTGAAAGCCAACGAGTTTGTATTTTTACTTGATCCGAATTGCTTACATTCATTTCTCATTTCTAAAAAAATATGTATGAACTGAAAATTTGCCACCATTACATCATTTAATATTTAAATATTACAATCATGAACGTATTTCAAAATTACTTACTACCAAAAATATCGCTTATAAAAGTCTCAATCGTTAAAATGCTCGATGGTGCTATAGGTATCTAGTTATAGTTATAGTATAGTGTACTATAGCCCTATCGGTGTATCAACGCGATCGCGCGGTGTCGGTGAGAAAAAGTAATACGTCCTGCCGTTGGGATTACCCGGAGCGTACTGAATCGAACGGCGTCTGCGTATGATGTTTTATAGTATTTTTAAAATAATTATATAAAATAATTGACAAAATAAAACGAGCTAAAATTTTTTTTTTTGAATATTTAACATTACATGTATTTTGATAAAATAATTAAAATAGATATGTTCATAACCAAATACATGGAAAAAATTACATTGAAGTAGACAGTTTTGGTGATTTTATAATATTATTTTATAATATTAAATCGAAATATTTTCGTAATTTAGGTTTTGCTATACACTAAAAGACTATATATTCCCATTATAATAACGCTTAAAATAAAGTATTTAAGCTTATAATAATGGTTGTATTCAACCTGTAAGATAACTCTGATGCATATTTTCGTAAAACGCTGTGAAGGGATTGTCTTGGCCCTAAAAAACCGTCATTAAAAACTATGATTTTGAATTGCTATGTACTAAATAAAGACTTCATCTTTCTAAAGCCCTAATTTTCAGCAAATAATCTCCTCACGTCGTTACGATATCGCCTTTGGAAAAACCATAAAACATGTAGTTTTCGACGCGAAACGCATATGCCCTCTTAATACTACCTAAATACTTAATTTCTTCTAAAAATATATCAAGATCTATATATACTTTATAAAAGAGCAGAATTTATGTAGTTATTGCATACAATATGCATGCATTCATATTACAACAAGGGATATTTCGCCATTTGAAACCTATATATAATTTCTAATAATTGAATAAGATATATAAGATAATAATATCTTATTCAATTATTTGCATCAATATGCAATATCAACAGTACTACAATTTCAATAATGGAAAACCTTAACATAATACTATATTATCAATATATGTATAAATTAATATAAATAAGCATGCAAAACTTACTTTTTGTGGCATACGCGCATTTGCGGTACCTCTTCTCTTACCAAAACCGCAATGACGACCTTTTCTGCGAGCCTCTGTGTTCTTACGTACACGGGCACGCGAGTGCACTGCTACTGGTTTCTTAATGACAAGACCATCCTTGATCATCTTACGGATGTTCTGTCCTGAAAAAAAATTGTAGAGACAGTTGTGATGAGCAAATAAGCAATCGCAATCACAATCAAATTGTTTACATGGTAGAGCCATGCTGCAGTTATATTAGTAGTATAGTTGTAGCATGAATGGGTCGGCTCGACCGGGGAAGGACTAGAGATTGCAATCAGGATTCTTCGAAATTCGAAAATAACTGAAATATCCGGATTTTCTAGTTTTATAAATCCGGTTTATAAACCCAAATCCGGTTTTTCCGGATTTTAGTCAAAATTAAGTTCGATCGATAATATTTTACATTTATCCACATATTTTCATTCTAAGTAATGAGTAGTTAGGTATTACCTACTTTAGAGTACAAATTCAAACAATATTTGAATTGGTAGGATTAGCTATAGCTCTTAAATGTTTAATAAAATCATTAGACAGCGAAAACAGGATGTCTGCCAATGGAGAATTATAGTGAGGCATTGTCGGTACATTTAAAAAACCTACATATGATGAAATTAAAAATGTGATCTATCAAGCTGCATCCCTGGATGTTGACGATTGCACGAACACGTCGACTAATACGAACTCTATTTCAGAAAATCTGTGCGATAGTTCTGATCCATCGTCGCTCAGTATTAAATAAAAGCTCAAACGTCAACTTTCTCTAGCAAGTATGGGGAGTGATCAACACAAATCAATGAGTGTAATCAGATATAGATAAGAGATCGTGGAGAAATCCCAAAGAAAATTTGAACAGATTTCCATAACGCCGACCAGTGTTGAGTCTGCAAGAGCTAATAATAAATAATTTATTACTTTGCAACCTTCCGCTAACTAACGCCTGATTCTATCAATTATCTGCAAGAGCTTTTTCCACAGCTAGCAAGTTTTTAGCACTGGCCACTTGTAAATGATATAAAAAAAATTGAAAATGGAATTCTTTTCCAATATTATTGTGTATGTATTTTATTAATTTGTCATTTGTTTACGATTTGGCGGCAAATTGAAAATTGTCTGTGTTACGTCAGTATGCATTTAACGCGAATTTTTTTTCATACCACGATTTTTTATGATTTTCGATATCATTTAAGTCAAAAGTCAACAAGAAAGTTATGATAGACTGCGAATGGCCTTTCACGATGAAGCCCCATCTCGTGCCACTGTTTACAACTGGTTTAATAAGTTTAAACATGGTCGCACAAATCTCATCAATGATCTGCGTGAGGGACGGCCTTCTACGGCCACGAGTGAAGATAACATCAGTGTGGTACGGCGTATGATAGAGACTGACAAAAGAGTGGCTTATCAGCAGGTTCAGACCAGGTTAGACATCAGCATGAGTCAAGTGTAAGTGTAAAATTCTCCAAGAACATTTAGCGGCCAGGAAGCTTTGTGCCCGGTTAATGCCTCATAATTTGACAGAGGCCCAAAATCTACGACATGTTGATTGGTGTCGTGAAATGGTTCAAAGATTTAACGGAGGTGACTCAAATGCTGTGTTCGACATACCTCTGGATGACGAAAGCTACATTTATTGTTATAATTCTGAAACTAAGAGACAGTCTGCTGTATTGGTGTTTCCTTCCGAGGAGTGAAGAGAGGTCAAAGCGTGGAAAAAAGATGGTGACCTCGTTCTTCGGAAGGACAGGCCATTACGCAACAATTGATTTAGAGGATCGAAAAACAGTTACTGCAGAGTGGTACACTAACAATTGTTTGCCACTTGTCTTAGAAAAAATTCGGGAGTAAGGACCTCGCAGTAGAAGCCTTCTTCACCACAACGCCTCGTCACATACTCCTTACGATGAGTGGGCACAGTGCTTTTCTCAGTGTTTCCATCCGATGCAGTGATGTATTGATATAATTTATGCTGTTTTATTTCAGTTTTATCAAATCACCTTAAAACTTTGAAAAATCCAGATTATCAGGATTTTAATCACAGGAAAACTTAGAAATTCGGATTTCAAAAAAATCCGGATTTTGCAATCTTTAGGAAGGACCATGCTCTCACAGAATACCAACGTCAAATAGTAGCTTAATGCTGCTATATTTCATATGGCGAGTGTAGAGAACCGGTTTTTTTTTGTTGTGGACCAGTTGCGGAGACCCTTTTTACTGGAAACTAGGCATTCCACCTAAGTCCTCACGGAGGACAACACATCTGCATTTTGATTCATAATCAAGGATAGATGTAGATGTCTATGGGGCACAGCAACCACTTACCATCAGGTGGACTGTGTGCTCGTTTGTCATACTATTCTATAAAAAAAACAATGTTCATTTAATTTCATTCACTTGGTTACAAAAAGCTCTTGCAGTAAATGTCATGTCTCAGTCAATGTCTACCTACGTTCAAAATCCATTGGCATGAAAATGTTTTGTTCTGATCAATATTTGCTGGCAAAAAAGGGCTTGTGAAATCTGCCAACACTATCTATCATCTAATAAAAGAATTCTGATTCTCAAGTTCAGAGTCAGATCCAGCAACTGAATACATGCCACAATAAGACTGTTGTAATTTTCTATTATTTTTCTAGAAAATACAGCACTCAAACAGATCATCTGAAACTAAAAGATAACGACCTATTAGCAATAATAATTACTAACAGTGGGCCTATGTACTTTTGTGGGGTGTGGATGGAGGGTCATACTAGAAAGTAAGTGGCAGTCAACAAGTGCAATATCAGTTAGCTTGCACTCACATCTTGTGAAAGGATTTTAAATGTGTTTAATGTATTTATTTTAAATTATTTTTTCGGGAATATTATCAAATTCATTTTGACATTTTGAAAAAAAAATCAATTGAAATTCTGACCCTGCATTGGTTTTCCAATCAATTTCAACTCAAGTTTTTTTTTACAATGAAAATCAATTATATTGTAAAATTCAATAACAGAATGTCAAAAATAACAAGGTCTAAAATTTTTCACCATTATGTATCTGTTACTCATTTCAAATTAAACTGAAATTTGTTTATTTATTCGATATTAAAATTATGTAAAAATTATAATAAAAAAATTCATTGAATTATTTGACAACACTGTCTCAAGCAACTAAGTAGTGGCAGAATGTGTTCAAGAACAATGGGGTTGCACTACTGAACAATTTTTTACAACTTTTTAAAATTGGCTGTTAATGTGATATTGTGACTTAGCTGAAACATTATCATCTATATTTTTAAAATTTGTACCAATTTAAACATGGTCAATTTAAAATATATATTTTAGCATTTTCATAAAGGAATTACGATTTTTCAGAAAATTTTGAATTCATCAGAGACGCACATGTTTAAGTATTGAAGCCAGGTCTACCACCAGTATCGTTCTGTAGCAGTATAAGCTAGACAATATTCTCAATCTTGGACAAGCAACAAATTACGACAAATAACATCTCTAGACTTCTTACATGATACTTAATAGAGTTCATTAACATTGATATGTAGGAATAATTACAAAGATATGAAATTTTATCAACGGCATACAACCTAACCGGCGATACTTACGGGAGTTGGTGTTTGCAATTTCATTGATCTCATTTGGATCCAGCCACACCTTCTTTTTACCACATCGCATAACAGAGGCTGCCAGCCTCTTCTGTAGCTTTAGGGAACTGAAAAATGAAACAATTTGTTGAAGACCACATGGCTTGTGTTGACATCAATAAATAAGCCCAGGTACTGCATTCTAGGTATTAAATTATTGTCACAAAGTACGAAGAAGACTATATAAACCCGTTTTATACGTTTTTATTCAAGTTTATAACTTTAAAAGATTTTTATTATTTAAACTAACCTCATCTTGACACGGTGAGGTCCACAACGCACACAGGAAAGAATATGGCCGCCGCTAGAGTTGTATAAAAATCGTTAGTATCGATACTCAATTTACTATCGATTTGTGATGGTCAACTCGATTGACTAGTTCGATTTAACTCGAGTTCTGTTCAACTCGAGCTAACGCGTGTCGGAAAATAACTAACTTGAGTTCAGACTGGCGACGTTTGGACGAAATATGCGAGCCAGCGCGAGCACAATTCATTCATGGTGCATGCAATATATTATAATACCAATGAATTATTTAAGAATATTTTTTAAATAAATAAATACCCACGTCATAAAATTACAGTACTACTATTTTGTAAAGATATCCTCTATACACATTTGTGTTATTTAATATAGATACTTACTACTAAGTGGCTGTAAGACGCAAACCTAAAATGCATATAGTACTATAAATAGGTTTTTATGTTGCAGAAGTGAACGATGGAGTCGGAAAAAGATATCTTAGGCCAAAGTTTATCGACCAAATTGACGATATATTGAAAATGGGCTCTTAACTGACGAGCATGTATGTGTAGGTATATGAATGTGAAGGAGGCGAGGGAGGTGTGTCAGGATCGTGCCAAATGGAAGTCTGAAGTCTCTGCCTACCCCTCTAGGTGACAGGCATAAGTGTTCATGTCTTAGACCACTTATGTTATGTTTTATGTTATGTCTTATTATCCTGTGCCTGACATGGAGTTGGATGTAAGAACAAATATATAATAATTGGTAACAAATCGAATCAGCTTCATCCTTCAAATTCGAATTGCTTAACTTGAGTCCAATCCGAGTTACGTGTATTTCAAATTTCAAGTGTGAGTTCCTTCCTTAGATTACCCCCTAATAGAATAGATACCGCATCATGAAATATTTGTTGTGTTTCGATTGCGCCAAATTTCCGGCATGCATGAGTTGCGAGGGACGTGTCAAATACGGTGTGATTGGATAATTCAAGGTTGAACTTACAATGATCCGTACCATAGTGATGGGACAGGGTTGGGAAGTTGATCGATAAATTTGGGATCAATTGATTATTGATAAATAAAACAATATATATATATATATATATATATATATATATATATATACAGGGTGTTAGTGTAAACACCGTTGTCCTTGAAACCAGTGGTTTGGTTTCACTTATAGAAAGTAATTTCAATGAAAAATAACAACATTTTTTTAGGCAAATCTCAATTTTTTCTTACAATTATTTCACCCTAGGCAAGTAGGGATATACCTACAGAATTCACAACAAAAAACTCAACATATCGTAGGTAGCGGCAGCGATTCGCGGTCAAGGATAATGTCACTGTGTCAGTGTGTCAGTCACCTTCGCTGCGTCGGTACGGAATGTACGTGTTAATTTGATTTAAAATCGCGCCGCTCAGTGCCGACATTCTACGTCGTTTTAGGTTGTACTTTTGGTGCGAGTGTATTTAATTTGTAATTATGTCCTACATAAACGTGCAGTGGAAATGTGCCTCTTCGTTCACTGAGAAACCTCTACTACCAACATGACGGTGCCCCTGCACATTTTCAGCTGCAAATCAGGGCTATGCTGGTTGAGGAGTTTTCTGGGCGATGAACCGACCTTACCCCGCTGGACTTTTATCTTTGGGGAGAAGTGAAGCGCCGAGTGTATGCAACTAAGTTCCGTAATACGTCCGAACTCAAAAGGCGAATTCTTAGTGTATTTAGAGAAATGACACTGTTGTGCTTCTAGCTTTTACGATTAATGTAAAAGCTAATCAAAATGGAATTCATTTACGAGGATTTTATTTAATAGGTAAGTGTAAATAACCAATCAATCAGGCTGCACATCAAGCTGTACAAATCCTTTGTCTTGGCCTCGCTTTGTATGATCTTTCTTAAGTTTCAAGACTGGTTACTCCGAGTTAGTTTTTCTGTCAGAAATCTAAGTCCAACTCCCAGTTTATGAATGTCACTAAGTCCAGTATAAAATCCCTAAGTCCTGTATAAAAAGCCCTAAGTCCAAGATTTTTATGACCTAAGTCCATGAAACTTATTACGATTTTCTTAAACAAAATTAAAAAGATTATATTTAATTTTAAATGTATACGAAATAGACCTTACGGAAAACATTTTGGTGTCACAGATATATTTTTATTCCTTAAGGTAGCATTTCAAAAGCAAAATTAAAAACTATGTTTGCATTTTCTCAAAAGTGTAAATACGGACTTAGGGACATCTTGAAATGGGCCATCCAATTGTAGGTTCTCTCTATGTACGATAGATGACAGAGTTTTTGCGGGAACTTGGTCGTCGGCGGACTGTCACTCCTGTCCAGTCCCTTGAATAATGGTTTGAAGTAGATTATGATTCGTAAAAGTTTTAAGGGATGGACGGGAAGATTTTAAGGGAAGTTTTTAGGAGGGAAGTTAAAAAGGGATTTTGTGAATTAAGTGTCTGCGTGTGTGAACTATTAGACAAAACGACGAAACAAGTGCTTTGATGTTGATATAAGTTATTTTGATCGCTTGGGTGCCTATATGAACTTATATATGAACTTGAGTGGCTGTCGTCATCAACTGTCCGCTGTGTTAAGCTGTCGTCAAAATTTCCCAAAATCTTCGCAATGTGACGCATCAGTATATTGCAAAAGAAAAAATATATAAAAACGAAGATTCCGAAAGAAATGATGAGCTCAGAAGGGCTAGAGCCCAGTGCCGTAAAATCAGTTAAATAAAAAAATATAGATGACACTTGACAGTTGACAGCAGTGTTGCCGTTTTAGCGCATTTTTTTTATAGAAGAAAGGGCAAACGAGCATGCGGCTCACCTGATGTTAAGTGACTACCGCCGCCCATGATCAACCGCAACACCAGGGGAATTGCAGGTACGTAGCCGGCCCTTTAGAAAGGAGTAAGCTCTTTTCTTGAAGGTCCCCAGGTCGTATCGGTCCGGAAAAATCGCCGGTGGTAAACTATTCCACAGAGAGGTTGTACGTGGAAGAAAACTCCTTTTGAAACGTACTGTGGTGGACCGCCAAGCATCCAGATGGTGTGGATGGTATCGGGACGTTTGCCGCGTAGTGCGTTTACGAAATTTGGCGGCTGGGATTAATCCAAACAATTCCTCAGAGCACTCTCCAGGGTATATGCGAAACAAAACGCAAAGAGATGCAACATCTCTTCGCAGTGCCAGTGAATCGAGCCGATCGGAAAGCACTCGGTCGTCGACGATTCGAGCCGCTCTGCGCTGGATGCGGTCAAGTGGAAGGAGCTGGTACTGGGGAGCCCCAGCCTAGAGATGGGAACAGTATTCCATGTGCGGCCGAACCTGCGCCTTGTAAAGTCGCAGGCGGTGAGCCGGCATGAAATACTGTCCCGCTCTGCTGAGCACGCCAAACTTTTTAGAGGCCAATTTGGCCTTCTCTTCCAAGTGACCACGAAACTGCACGTCACTCGATATGTCAACGCCGAGGATTCCGATACCGGCTGAGGCAACAAGGGGAGTGCCTTGAAACTGAGAAGATACGACAAAGGGGTTCTTTTTAGCGGTTAACGCGCAAACTTGTGTCTTCTGGGGGTTAAACTGGACTAGATTTAGTCGCCCCCAATCCGAGACTCTGTTCAGCAAAGACTCGACTTCAGACACAAGTTTGTCCCGGAACTCGCTAGATCTAGTGCAATTCTAGTGTCTATAGCGCTTTTTTAAATATCTAAGCGCTAAAAATATCTAGTGGAATCTAGCGGAAAATTTATAGTAATTGACAGCACAGTGTGATAAAAAGACACTAACGAGTCTATCGTTTGTTCGGATCTTCCACGACCAAAATGTTGCTGATATGTTAATTGTTTTTTCTACCTTTTGTATTATGGTATATAGCAGTTTTACTTTTCGTTATATTAATCCTCTAAGCTTTAGTACCTGGTTTTTCCCACGCTTGAGTTTCGTGTTAGTGTTTTAGCTCGGTTGTGTTTTTTTCATTAAAATTTTAAATGTAATTTTCACCGAGGAAGAAGGCTTATAGCCAGAAATATAGATCTGAGTAGAGAGCAAATGGCATGTAATTTAATTGCTCAAATAAGAAGGTGATGGTGATTATATAGTGAAATTTTGGGCTCAAGTCTCCAGATACAAAAATGCGGCTAGGACGAATGCCTTTCGGGAATTAGTGAACTTAGCTGTCAGTGTGCTGTCACTTCAACATTCAAACGCCGAATTATAGCCAATTTTCGGCGTTATAAACATTGTCAATAGTAAACTACGTAAGCGGATGTCAACTGAAATAGTAAACTGAAATATAATGATACATCATCAATAAAAAAATTCTTAAGCAAAGCTGTCGCACATAAAGACTTACCTGAAAATGTCCTCGACAAATTACTAAAACTGTGAAAAAAGAATAGAAGCAGGTGTAGGCACATCATCGGCATCTGGAGGTGATGACGACCATGAAGACGTAGTGGAATTGTCTAATTTAGTTGATTTTAGTAACTCATATTACTTAAATAAATGAAGATGTCTTTAAATAATCGCATTTTTTTTCTTACTTGCTTATATACATTTACAGGATACAATTTAGCGGAATTTGATGGATTTTAGCAAATTTTTGTAAAATATAGCGCAGTTTTGATAAGGGTTTATATAGTCTCTTATTAGTTTGTGGGTTTAGTGCATCTTTTTTCTTCATACAGCAACACTGGTTGACAGCTAAGTCAACTAATCACTAATCACATCACATATATCTGCTAGACAGATCCTGCTAGTTGTTATTGTTAGTACCTCCACGGTTCTCGTTAAAATTATTATTGAATTATTATCATCAGAGTTTCACCACTATAGTATTGTACTTATTACACAGAAACTACAGTGACATAAGAGTATTCTTAACTCGTCATCTCGTCCAACCCTCGTCAAAGAGTACAGAATAATATTGTGTGTTTATTTACAGTTATTCTGCGTTATACTTTCTACGTTTACATTTTTTCTTTTCTTTGGTTATAGTTCTG